GATGGTAGGTTTTAAATAATTTTATAATTTTAATATCTTTTTAATATTATGATTGTTTTTAAAAGATGTGGCTTGAATCTCAAAACATTTCATTTCACTTTCATTATTTCCAGACAGAAATTCCCTCACCCTACACTTTTTCAACTTCCTGAGCCACTTGTAAGTGAGTAATATCTTCTGTTTTTACTTTTTAATTTAATGCCTCTATTAAATATTAGCTCTAAATCTAGCTTCTCTCTCTGTCTCATCACACAGCACAGTGTTTGGATGAGCTCTAGGCATGTCTTACACCCTCGGGACAGCCCCTCTGATTGGTATATGCCGGAGAGTAATGGGGATGTAAATCCCCCACTGTGGCCCTCAACCGTTGCGGATGAAAATCCCCACCCGCAGCCCTCAACCAATCTGGGTGAAAATCCTTTGCGAACCAGGCAGAGAGAGCTAAAATATCCTCCATCCTCCAGCTCCCGCTCGGAGTGGAAGATCCTACAGAAACAATGATTCAGATATTGTCTCAGATTCAATATTCAAAAAACAATATTTTCCTCACAGTCAATATTGACGAAATTGTGATGAAACTGTTTTTGTAAACCTTTGTTTGGTCTGTGTCTCTCACTCCTCTGGGTCCTTCTTCCCATCCCTGTGCCCCTCCACTGTCTCTCTCTCTCTCTCTCTCTCTTTCTCTCTCTCTCTCTCACACACACACACACACACACATTGCTACAGCAGCATATTTCTCTAACTTAATCAGCAACAATAAACACAATCCTAGATTTGTTTTTGACACTGTAGCTAAACTTACTTACTAGATGAGTTCCAGCTTCTCCCAGAGCCAGTTTAGCATTATGTTCAATCCCAGAGGGTTTCTGCTGTAACAAACCTTGAGGCTACAGCTCTAGAATAATTGTCTAAGCTGGTGTTGGCTTTGAAACCCACCAACTGCCTGCTCGACCCTCTGCTAGCAGTGATCTCTGCCCAGTTTTGGGACCTACAGTGCTGGTTAAACCCACTTGTTAGCTCTCCAACCAATCAGAGAGCTTGTTACATCTCATGGCCAATTGGGATTATTTAGACTGGGTTTACTAGAGTGTCACAGAAAGGCGAAAAGGAGAAGCTAAATGACTAAGCTAATCGATTAGCTAATAGGAAAAGGAAAAGCAACTGGAAAAAGGAAGTGGAAATTGAAGAGGGACACCACCACAGATTAACTGGAAAATAATTCCTAATTCTCCACTTTGACGTAGGGTGTCGCCACGAGATTCAACACTCCCCAGTTGTTGGATGTTATTGTGATTTTTACAGTGTGTGGACTAAAAGTGTCCCACACTGGGGTACACAAAGCAGCTCTGAAGGAGGCATTTGGGTCCTATACAGATACATAATACACACAATAGTTTGTTGCGGCGTGCACGTTCCGGCAAGCTTGCACGCTGTTACAAATACCCACACGGCCAATACAAACAAGGTGCCTCACCAGGCACGGAAAGTCATTAGCGGGGCTAATGCTAATACTTGCTGCTTAGCATAGGAAAGATATGTCTTTGTTGCTAGCAATGACAGACTCTAAACACAGCGGGAGCTTCGTGATTTTTAGTAACATGTCCCGCTAAAAGTTTTTAAAACTCTGCCTATGTCTGCTCTGTCCTGAATAGTGTGCTAACCCTCGCGGTGAGCGCAGTGCAAATTGCAGAACAGAATCTGACCAACAATTCAAAGACAACTTTTGCAACCCACGACAACTTCTATATCTGATGATACAGATCCATTTTGGTTGATGTTCATAAAGTATTGAGGTTATATACCCAGCCTTAGTAACATTAAACTTTCAATATTGTATTAGGTGCAGTGAAAGTGCTCTTCAGAAAAATCAGAAATTCTCATGTGACTGGTTGAAGATTGGAAGATTGAACCCTCAGGAGTCAGATTTACTCATCACTGAGCACAAAATACCATTAAGACCATAAAAGTTTAGTGTCACATCTTTCCAATTTAGCAGCTTATTTACTGACACTGATGTTTGTCTGATTTACTACGTTGACAGTTCAGTCATGTGAACAGACTGTAAAAAACAAGCAGTATATCACGGATGCATGCTTAAATCTGAGCCTGATGAAAATGTTGTCAACATCATAGCAGCTACAGAGAAAGACAGGGGTTAGCTTTCATTACCAAGGAGTCTCCACATCCAGGCTGTGCTCTCATACACTGAAGAATGAAGCAGTCCTTTCAATTTTCCTTCAAATGCAGTTCCTCTGTTGCTCAGAAATGAAGTGCCTTGATGTTCGGATGTATTGATCGTGTTGCTGTAGGACACACTCTCCACAGCCGGAACTTCCTTGTGCCGTCTTTGATTCATCAATCAGCTGCAGCACCATGTAAAAAAAAATCTCCACTCATTCATAGATCACAGTAGATTCTCTCACTAAAGCTTCTCTTCATTTTGGTACATCTGAGCGGAAGAGGATATGATTTGATCACAACTATTCTATTAAATTGGGACTTCTTTTTCAATTTCCTATGATGTCAGTTTCTTTAGTGAGAGCAGATAAGCACAGAAAAGTAACTCTCCATATGAATAGCATGACATCTGAAAACGTGGCATCACTGAAAGAGCCCATATTATACACTTTTCCAGTATTTATAAAACTTTATTATTTAAGTGTTGGTATCCATAAGATGACATATTTGTGGTTTTAAGAACCAAAAACCATCTCAATGTAGTTTTACATCTTTCTCAGGCTTCTCTCTGGAGCTCTAGTAACAACAGGTTGGTGAGCTCTGAGCCTCTTGTCTGATTGGCTTACTATTTTCTGAGTGATCTAATAAAAATATAGCAGATTTCAGGTAAACACAGAAACCAAATCCTGCAAGGTTGGACGGTGGGTCTAAGGGGAGCACGGCTGAGAGTGCTGATTGTTTTGTTGTGACATCACAAAGTTCAGGAAGTCCCGACGGCTTGTTTTAAGGCCTCAGTTTCTGAATACAGGCTGCATGCATTTCTCTGACTGAGCACTTTGATACTTTCACAGTATTAATATAGAAGCTAGACCTGCTTTAAAATCAAACAACACATGGACATCTACCTTTATACTGTATGGGACCTAAACTACAGCCACACGTGGTGTAAAACAGGTGGGCACAAGGTGCAAGCTTATCCAAATTGTATTAACACAGGTTCTGGGTCACAAACAGACAGCTGTATAACAAAATGAGGTCATGGCAAAGTGAGTGGTGTGCTTTAGCTAATCACTGCAGTCAAATCAGTTTTTCAGGGTGGAAAATGTTGACTTCATCTGCAAGAAGATTATTTCTGAGGAAGTTAGATGAGTGTAGCAATGGTTAACCTTGCTGCCCTGACTGCTATGATGAAGGCCAGGTTTAACAAAAGGAGTGACTCTTGCAGGTCGAATGTGCTGAACTAATGGGGGATTTCCTCATGGCTCCAGATGTTTCTTCTTTCTGGAAGACAGGGCTGCGGCTGCATTCCCAGAGCAATGATTGCAAGTTTCTAGTCTTAGAGAGTGATGGTGACCTACTTCCTTCATCCAAAGCGCTAAGTTGAGTATTTTCTCAGATGTTTATCTGCTCTGAACAATAACTACATTTACCTTTGAATAATTTCATTATGTTTGTAGATTTCCTGAAGCTTTTTTGGCTTTTCCAAGTTATTTAAAAAATATTATTCTCACTCATGGATGTCATCTATAGGACCATGGCAAACACTCTTGACTCATCATTTTTTTCCCTGCCTCAGCAATAAAAAAGTTTTGGATTTGACTCTGAGCTTCGTAGAAAAGAGTGGAAATCTTTTATGAAACTATTTATTAAACTACAGGAAAACTGCTTTGCATCACAGTCTGTCAAAAACATAATTTACAAATGAGGACATAGAACCTGCATCAGCACTTTTCAAATGCTGATTCAAAGATGATGTACACTAGTGAGAGCAGGAAACAAGCAGTTATTGAAATATCTGACTCCAGTAAAGGAAACACAAAAGATACTTAAATGGACATTTATAAAAGGCACAGAATAACACAGATGTCTCAAATAAAGCCTTAAAAATCCCACATTAGACATATTTTCAATCAGTTCTGTAATTAACTTAAACTAAATTTCCTCGATGTATTTCCAAACAGCTTGAAATGATCTGTTATTGTCAGAAAGAACTGTCCTTTGTCATCAAAGCAAAGCTATTGATTTAAGGTGAAAAACTCTGATTGGAGCTTATAGAGGCCACATACTGATGTCATTTTAAACTGTTACCTTACCACACAGATTTCACTTTTCCCTTCTTTATGGTTAATTATTAGATAGTTTTTACCTTTTATGTGTTTGGCCATACTTGTCTGGTTTTTGGGACCAAAGAGCATCATCTCAAAACTAGGGAAAACTATTTAAATTTGACGGGGTAAACTCGTCAAGGTGAACGTGAGTAGTTTTTGTTATAGAGGTTGTATTGTGTGGCCAGTTGTATTTACATTAAAGGTCCCATATATTGTATAAAGTTAGATTTACATGTGTTGTTTGATTATAAAGCAGGTCTAGGTTCTATACTGTGAAAGTATCAAATCGCTCAGTCCACAGAGAAATGCACACAACCTGTATTCAGAAACTGAGCCTTAAAACAAGCTGTCAGGACTTCCTGAACTTCCTGAATCCTGTGATGTCAAAACAAAACAGTGACCGACCTTAAAAGTACTTCTGACAAAGGTTGAGAGAACATTATGATAATCAATAAATTGTGATGCTGAGAAACAAAACAATTAAAAGGTAACCAAAGGAAGGAGGCCCATTAATATTTCCCAGTGGATTATACACAAAATGGTGGAAATGGTGACCTATGATCCACAAAATACCATCAACTTTTGAACTATATGCAGCAGACACTCAAAGCACCACTGCAGGTTTTATTTAACTTATTATTTCATCATTGTGACAGCAGTTTTTACATTTGGATCAATAAAAACATTAGCTGCTTTTAAAGGGCAGTTGCTTGGGCATACAGTATGGCGTTGACCATGATGAACAGTGAAATTCCTCAGAACACATTGAGAAATGTGGATTTCGAATCTACGCCAATGGCATTCCTGGCTGTGCACCTGTAGATGCCAGCATCTCTTTGTGTCGGGTTCTGAATGATGAGGGAACCTTGTGGATGGAGGTACTTGTTCCCAAAAACGCGTGGCTGCGCACTGACAGCCAAGCGAGTTTTATCAGGTGTTTCCCATGCTACCTCCACTCTAGGAATCCCAGTTGCTACACAGTTTAGCTGAACAGCAACTCCACGTTTAGCATAAGTCACAGAGGGAGGGCCATTGGTAATTTGAGGTGGGTATGCAAGTACAGTTACTGATACTGGAAGCAGAGAGCTACCATACTCATTTGCTGCTCGGCATACATAGGACCCCCGATCATAGACTGTCACTTGTTGTATTGCCAGCGTCCCATTGGGCAGTACAGAATATCGTCCAGCTCTCTGCGGCATGTTGAGGACAACTCCACTGGGTAGCGTCCATGTTAGTCTGAGGGGTTTGCCATTGGTTAGGCAATGGAGCAAAAGGTTTTCCCCGCTCATGATGCTAATAGGAGAGTTATATTTGTTGTTGATTTCAGGCTTTCTCCCTGGTGACAATGTGATTATACGTTCCACGAGCCCAATAGAATTACGCCCCAGACAGCGGTACATACCAGCGTCACCAACAGATGGGTTACTGATGATCAAAGAGCCGTCAGGCTGATGGAAAAACTTAGAGAATCGAGCACCGGTACGCAAAGGTGTGCCGTTAGGTAAGATCCAAGTGATGTGAGGTAGTGTTAAACCCTCAAAGGAGCAATTCAAAGCCATAGCATTCCCCACAGTCAGAGACAGACTGTCTGTTTTTGGGATCCCAGTTTGTGGCCTCTCGACAACCTCCTTCACATCCAAATTAACCACCAGCCTGACCTCCCCTCCTTCATTACGAGCGATGCAAGCCAGCTGCCCCGAGTCTGTCCTCTTGGGTGACCGGATTTCCAAGGTACCATTCAGGTGAACAGTCATTCTGTTGCTGTAGTACGGTGCAGGGAGGATCACATTTCCTGGTAGAACCCACATGATGCGAGGGGTAGGGGTTCCCTTTGCCACACAGTCCACCAGCTTCCGCTGATCCTGGACAGCGGTTACCTTGACAGCACTGGCAGTTTCTCTTAAGCCATTGATCATTGGAGGTGTTACCAGGACCTCCAGCTTGACGACTTTATGGTCTTGTCCTGCACTGTTCCTGGCAATGCAAGTGTAGTTACCTCCATCAAAACGTTGGACCTTTTGAACCACCAGTGTCCCATCATCCAGGACCTGGTATTTGTCTAATTCAGGGGATATCACTCTATTTGTAGGGGATATCCATGTTTTGACTGGCATTGGTTCCCCTTTGGCGTTACATATCAGTGTAACAGTCTCACCGTAGAAAACCCTGACAATCTTTTGATCTTTATCCTGGATTTGTGGCGGGGAAGTTGCAACCTTAACCTTGACACTGACCTTCATCTCATCTTTGCCGAGTTGGTTCTCAGCATAGCAGGTGTAGTCACCTTCTTCTGGCATGCCAACATCGTTAAAAATCAGTGTCCCATTGTCAAACACAAGGTACCTACAGTACACACAGTTCAGGAAGGGAAGAGGAGAAGAGGGATATAGATTGTTACACTTTGATGACTGGATCTTTCAGTTAAGAGTCATGTGCATTAATGGAATGAAATCAAACCCATTACGACAAACTTTTTTTTAGACATCACACATTTAAACATCACACATTATGGCCAATAAAGCTTTCTTTACATGGCAAATCACATGGGATTTGTCAATGACTGGTATACTTTCTGGGTAAAACCTGGTCTAACCCATGTTGGATGGAGCAGCTCTTATATATAGAAATCTAATCGAGTTTATTAGTACACCAAAACCATGACCCAGAGTTGAGACCAGGAGGCAGAGTTGCAGTCCTATACTCTCTTCACCTCCATTAGAGCAATCATCCACCTAAAACCCCATAGAGACTGTGTCTGCTCCCAACCAAAAAACCTAATGAACACCACCATTGTAAAAGTACAAACGGTAAGAGAATTAAATGTGACCTTGCTCTCATCATTTAATTTTAGATTGTTATATTGATTTATTCTGTCCTTCTGAAACCTGGTTGTGTTATGATGACTTTGTTAGCCTAAATCAATCCACTTTACAAGGACTGAGTTTGGTTCATTTAAAATGGACAATATACAACAGTCCCCCCCCCACCCCTTTCCATCTCTCGCTCTCTCTCTCCCTCTCTCTCTCATGTTTGCTTGCCCAACCTTAATAAACTGACAAGTCATATTTACAGTTTGTTCCATATGTCGTGGCAGGAAACAATAAATACAGCTGAAATACAAAGGAGTTTTTGTATTGTAGTAGCACATGCCAGAATTTGTTCATGAAGTAATTTTCTGTGGAAGTTGAGAATCATTAATCTTAGGGTGGTGTGCTGCCATCCTAGCACAGAGTTAGGAAGTACTTTCCAATAATAATAATCAGTTCAGTTTTAATTTGATGACGTAATGGCATATGGACATTTCTCATGAATCTTTATATAAATAAATAAATAAATAAATAAATAGAAGTCCCATATAGTATAAAGGCAGATGTCCATGTGTTCTTTAATTATAAAGCAGGTCTAGGTTGTATATTAATACTGTGAAAGTGCTCAGTCCACAGAGAAATGCACTTCCAATCTTTGTGGTTTTAAGGAAGTACTGATGGTTCTTTTTAACACTTAGTTTCTGAATACGGGCTGTGTGCATTTTTCTGTGGACTGAGAGCTTTGACTCTTTCACACACAGTATTAATATAGAACGTAGACCTGCTTTATAATCAAATAATACGTGTATATCTACCTTTATACTATATGGACCTTTAATATTTTAACATTATGAAAAATGTTGGGAAATGTCGCAATATTCAATATTATTTAATATCGGCCAAAGGCTACCTGCGACTGCGTCCTCCACTGACACGATCTTTCTGTTTGACCGGGTTGACCATGGTACCATCCGGCAGTGCCCAGCTGATCTCAGGGTTGGGGAGCCCGGAGGCCACGCAGTCCACCTTCAGGTCTCCACCGTACACCACCTCCTGACTGGATCGCTGCTGCTTCTGTTCGATTTTGGCCGGCCTGGTCAGCACATTGACCCGCCGCAGAACGTAGTCATCACCCATTTTGTTACGCGCCACACACATGTAATCACCGCTGTCCTCCACTGTCACAGAATGAATGGTTATAGTGCCGTTGAGGAAGACCTTGATCCTGTGGTCAAAACTACAAAAATAATAGAAACATGCAGAGGACATTAACCATAAGCATGTATTTAAACTTTTAATTAAAAAATTATTAATTAGCTTGAGCATTGTTTTACCTATACTGAGCATCGACCAGCTTCTTAGAGGGTGTCCTCCAGATGATCCAGGGACTTGGCTCTCCTGTTGCCACACAATTGAGCAGCAGCTTACTCCCATAGATCACATCTGTTCTCTGGGGGGACGATGATGTGATACTGGCCTTGGACGATAATGGCTTCCTCTTTGTGGTCAAGAACATGATTCTCCTACTGGATGCCACTGCGTTACTGGCTGAGCACTCGTATCTCCCAGCATTCCCCGGGCTGAGACCTCGTATGTAGAGGGTCCCATTGGGGAAGACAACAAGGTTGCGTTGAGCAAAAACCTGGGAAGCGGTGAGCTGTACGCCATCAGGTGTAATCCAGTGGATGACAGGTGGAGGGGCGCCTGTGGCAGTGCAGTGGATGTAGGCGGTGCTACCCTCAAGGAGGGTGGTGTTTTCATACTCTGCCTGTTGAATTACAGGTGGCAACGCCGAGACAGAGAGGTGGACTGAGACCGTGTCAGCTCCAGCTGCACTGCTGCCAGTGCATTTATAAATCCCTCTGTCAGTGTAAGTGGCCTGGCTGATCCGTAGAGTTCCGTTACTCAGGACCGCCACACGCTGCTGAAGTGACACGGCAAGTGGGGCAGCAGCCATGTGGACATGGTTAGGGAGCGTCCATGTGACCGTAGGCATAGGATACCCCTCCACTTTACATTCCAAGTCCACTTTGCCACCCAGAGGCACTGTGATGTCTCTGTTCCGAGGCTGGAGCACCCGCGGATGCTGAGACAGGACCACGAGGTTGACCACCATTTTGTCTGTACCATACTGGTTCTGGACCATGCACAGGTACTGGCCCCCATCCATGTGCTGTGTGTTCCTGATGATTAATGTACCATTGGGATGGACCTCAAACCTCTGGACCCTGGTGTTCTGAGCAATACTTGCCCCTGTGTGAATGGAAAGAGATTTCAGATAAAACAGTGTTTTGAAGTGAATTATTGAAAGTAGAAAAGAAAATAAACAATATACTGTGGATCAGTGGTTCCCAACCTATGGGATGGGGCCCTCTCGTGGGAAGTATTACATGTGGGCCAACAAATCATTTGCAAAACAGTACAATTTTGGTGAAAAGTTGTAATAAAAACTGAGAGGGCATTATTTGACCTCCATATTGTAATGGGGTCGAATGTGGGCCTCCAACATTTTTGAGATCTTCAAGTGGGCCATGAGTTGGAAAAGGTTGGAAACCACTGCTGTAGATGAAATGAGTGTAGTATTTACAGGGTGTAAAAAAATCATAATTATGTGTTAGTGTCATAAGTTTTATTTAGAAAAATGATCCTGGTAAAAAAAAAAAAAATCACTTGCCTCTCAAAGCTTCCATACATATATGTCGTTCAAAGAAATTTAGAATATTTAATTCATTATTTCCATTAAAGGTAATCTTGTATTAAAGTTTATAAAACATGTATTTTGTTAAGACAATTTATCCACTGGTCACCATTTAGTGACAATACAGTAAAGAGTGTGTCTTTTTGTGTGGATGGATATGTAGGGCATCCCACTTTACACACAGTCCAGAATTATGTTCTGTCACAATATTTTGGGTTTTTAAAAAAAAATTATTATTATTTAAATATTAATATTATTAAACAATTTTATATTCTCCAGAACTAAATGGAGAACTAAACGTAAATGTACATGAAGCTTAATTGTGAGTTTGAGTCATACATACCACTAGCAACTTTAGTCCATGACAGGAAGGGCTTTGGCTCGCCTTTAGCCTCACAGGGAAGCTGAGCATCTGTTTCAGCTTTCACAGTGAAAGTCTGGAAATTGCTCTTAGTTATGCTTGGCTTGCCTCTTGGAAGAGACCCTCGTCCAGGTAGCTGGAGCATTATGGAGGCTTCCTGAGTGCTTGTTAGCGGTCTCTCTCTGAACGGATTAGTCTGGATTGAAGAAATTGTTGGGGCAGGGGTGGCTGTCTGCTTGGTCGTCAGCCTGCTGGTCGGTGTGTGGTGAGGTGACTGGGTTGTAGGATGGTAGTCTGATACTCTCCTAGACTCAGATGTAGTGATGATAGGTTCAATTTGTTGGTTTTGACTGAGATTTATTGTGATCCTGGGAACCTCCTGGGTAGTGGCCTTCAGTGAAGGTCCTGTTTTAATTCCCGTGGAAGATGTTATGGGTAGTGTAACATGTGACACCTCTCTGGATGGCATCACAGGATCGGGCCATGACGATATAGCAGGGGGAGGTGTTGTTATGATCGTACTCGTGATAGGAGCATCAACAATAATTCCTATGTTTGCAGTTTCGTCAAGATGCAGATCTACCTGTGACTCTCTGCTTGAGGTGTTATTTTGACTAGAATTATGATGATATCTTTCAGGTTGAGTAGGTGTGTTTGTGGTAACCTGTTCTGTCTCCAAATCACCCTCAGAAACTGGACTCGGTGCTGTAATTAAGCCACTTGAAACGTATCCAGAAGTCGTTTTGATTTCATGCTCGACAGGTGAAGCAGCAGATGGGGATGGCATCTCTCCACTGTTTTTGGTGAGTGAGTATTGATAGTCTGACTGATTATCCTCGACATATGTTTGCATTGTTGCAGTAACGCTTGACCTTTGTGTCTCTGAAGGTCTGACAGGTGGAAGGGAGCTCTCTGTAAACCTTGGCTGAGTGGTTGAAGGGAGCATATCCAAGATCTCTGGAGGAGACAAATTCTCTGCCATTCTTAAGGTTGTTCTAGAACTTGTCTTTCCGTGACCCACTCCTGGAGAGGTTGTTGGAAATGATGGTGCTGCTGATGTGCTTCTGAATAGAGGTTTGGCCGAAGCTAGGTGGCTGTCCTTAGTTTTGGCTGGTAGTGAAGAGGGTTTGGTGGCTGCCTCGTTGTCAGGCCTGGAGACTGTGCTTTCTGTATGACTCAGTCTGCCTGATGACGCTGCTTGGCTCCCAGTAAATGGAACAGTGGTATTGAATTTGGCTGTTGTAACTTGTAATGGTTCTATTTTTAGCTGTGTGGGGGCGGTGGTCCTTACTGTTGCTAGGGGAGCATTTGCAGGTGTGGTGGTATTAATCTGGGTGGGTTCATTCAGCTTTTGTTTCCTTCTGTTTGGTCTTTTCCTCCGATCCCCATTCTTTCTCCGGGAGTTAGGCCGGATGCGTACTTTAGGCTCCGTCCTCGTAGTGGTGGGCACAAGTGTAGTTGTTGGAGATGCTGTTGTGAGCATTGCTTGAGACTCCAAATAATCCAGTTCTGCATCCTTTGGCTGAGTGTGCGGCTGTGGTGTTGTTGCAGTCTCACAAAGATATTTTCCATTTTCTTCTTGGCCTGTCTCTGATTCATTTGACTCGACCGAAGGGATAATTTGACTTCCACTTGAAGAAACCTCTCTGTCATTATTAGAGATGGCAACAACGTTAGGTCTAGCAGTATTCTCACTCCTCTCCAACACCTTGGACCAATCAGCTGTTTTGACTCCATCAACATCTGTGTTTGTGCTGTGGTTCTCTTGTAGAGAAAATGTACTGCTGCTGCTGCTCGCGCTGTTTGTGTTCGCCTGCCAGAAAGTGACAGCATGGAGGGGAACAGATGTGGTCTGTGGGAGGAAAAATACACTGTTTGAAGTTGTGTATAGATCCAAGTTTGCATCACTGGTTGTGTGCTGCAGATTGTATGTAGTCTGCATTGTGTGTGGCTCTGTTGTAGCATGTATCGTGTGTGTGTGTTGACTATTTGAGGTATTATCTGTGGTGTAGATGCGATTAGATGTCACATGGCTTCCCTGGCCTTGTGTACTTTGTTTATTAGTCTTCATTTGTGTGTGTTGTACTGGAGTGTGTGGTGTTGTGATGTAATCCTGGCCCTCTCTCTCCGGCGCAGTCACGCCATCTGATGATCCTTCAATGGTTTCTTGTGACAGTGTTGTCTGCTCTGTCAGTCCCCTCTCTGTTGTGTGTTGACCTGGGGGTGGGGTCACGGTATTCTGAGCGTTTTTATCCCTGATCTTCGCCAAAATGTCTGCCCATTTCTCTGGGTCTATTTTACTCTTTGTCATATTAATCCTCCTCCTGTTCTCCACTATATTTTTCCTGTCTTCAACACGTGATCCTGTAGGTTTTCGAAGCACTGGCGGCCTCCGCCACATATTCCTTGATGGATGGATGCCCCTTCTTCCTGGAGCCACACCTTCTGGGAGTCTTCTTCTCAAAGGATTCATTGGAGATGCCCCCTGAGTTACTTCAGTGTCCCCTGATGCCTCCTCTGTATCCTCTGTAGGGACTTTAATCTGAGTGTTGACTCCTGAGGCTGACTGAGGTCTTGCTAAAACCTTCCTCAAAGGCCTTACCAGCCCTTTGCGCCGGATGACAGTAACTTTTGCTGCCAGTGTATCCACACCATGTTGATTCATGGCAATGCATTTATAATAACCGCTGTCTAATAACTGAGTGTGTGGGATATGTAGAGTGCCATTGGAATAAACCAAAGCTCTCGGGGATTTGGCTTGGAGACTAACTATGTTGTTGCTTGGTAGAATCCAGTTAATCTCAGCATCAGGGGAGCCAGATGCCATGCAGGATAGGGAGATGGGGTTCCCAACAAACCCCTCAATGGGTGTAATTGAGGCATCCTCTCCTGGGAGAGGGCTGGAGGATTCCTGCACTGTCAGATGGAATGGCAGGACATCCAAGTCTCCATGAACCTTGGCAATGCAGTAGTAAATTCCTGCGTCTGTGTGGCTGACAGATTTAATGACCAGCTGTCCATCACTGGACACAGACACCCTGCTGTCTGGACTGTTGTATGGTGCCTCCAACTTGGAGTCGTCTGGCAGCATCCAGTGAATTGCTGCTTGGCCAGAACTGTGCACATTACAGTCTATTTGACTTTGGCTTCCCAGGACAGCGCTCAACACCTTTTGAGTCTTGTTTGTTGACTCGATCAAGACCCACGTCCTTCTTTGTCTTCGCACCAGCTCAGCCTCCACTGTCTCCGAGAAGTCTGTACTCAGGATCAATTTCACCACCTTGGCTGATGACTGAAGTCTGTTCAGCTGAAGGTCTGCAGACGTCTGCATCAGCCATGCTGGCTGGGCCATGATGTTAGCTTTAACACCTGTGTAGTAGAGTGCGTCCTTCTCAGAGTCCTGTCTATACACATAGGTTGGATGAGGGTCTTTGCTGAGCATAATCCCCCTTTGTAAGTGGGCTGGCACATTGCTGTAGTAAGCGACCAGCCTCCACAGTTGCTCATACTTTTCTCTATCAACAGGACATTCAAGATCCACTGACAAAGTGATGTTGGAGGCCAGTTGGAGCTGGTCGACCTGCTCCCAGCTGATCTTGGTAATCTCCTTTGGCTCGCGGATACTACAATCCAGATCCACCTCATTCCCATGTTCATCAGACAGGCCCAGGGAGACGTTTCCTAATGGTTCCCTGAAGTTGTCTGCGGTCATGACCTCACTTTCATTGTCCTCAGGTGGGGAAGTCCGGTGAGGAGAGCTGATGACGGGACTGCTGCAGACCAGGTTCTCCAAAGCCTGGAGCTCTTTCTTCTGTAGGTGCCTGGGGGAGGAGCACATGGGACACAGCTGGCCACCAGGAAGGGCCCTGTCCTTTTTACATTTCAAGACACCTGAAAATAAAATAAAAAAAGAAAGTCTCAGTTCACTCATCTTTTTCTAAAAGAATAAAGTGCAGAAATATAAGGTCTCACCTGGTGAGGTTTTATCCCAGTCATGCAGCCACCTCATGCTGCAGTCACAGGTCCATGGGTTGCCATGGAGGTACAGGTTCTCTAGGTGAGGCATGGTTGCCACCAGCCCGGAGGGCAGTGACGTCAGTCCATTGTCTGACAGGTAGAGGTGCCTCAGAGTGGAGACGTGGAAGTGGCTCATCAGCGTGAAGGTGGCAAACGTCGCTGGGTGCAGCTGCTGAAGCTGGTTGCCTTCCAGCTGCAGTAGTCGCAGAGAGGTGAGGCCCTGGAAGGCATCTGGGTGGATGAACTCCAGGCGGTTGTGGTCCAAGTGTAACCTGGCTAAAGACCACAGACCCTGGAGGGTGTGTCTGTTGATCTCCTTCAGCTTATTGTAGCTCATCTTCAACATCTAAACCAATGAGCAGCAATGACAAAAGAAGTCACCATTAGTGATCAAATCTCTTTAACCCTGACATGTCCAATGAGTTATTATGTAGACAAGAGTGTTATCGAAGTTTATATTATACCAAGGACCTTTTGGAACACTCCTTGAGATTAACATTTTGATCCATATTCCAACTAAAGAATATTTTGTTTATAGTTGAGTAAGCAGTTGAGTTGAGTAAAACCAGGATTTCAGGTTCATCTTTTCAAAGTAAAAGGAAAAAAAAGGCAAGGTAAGGTAATATAAAGAGAAACACTTTTTATAGGTCCCATATTGTATAAAGGTAGATGTCCATGTGTTGTGTGATTATAAAGCAGGTTTAGGTTCTATATTAATACTGTGGAAGAATCAAACTGCTCAGTCCACAGAGAAATGCAGACAGCCTGTATTCAGAAAGTGAGCCTTAAAACCAGCTGTCAGGACTTCCTGAACTTTGTGATGTCACAACAAAGCAGTCACCACTCTCAAGCCTAGCCCACCTGGATCCACCAGCCAACCTTGCAGGATTTGGTTTCTCTGAGTGTTTATCTGAAATCTGCTATATTTTTATTCCATCACAGTCTGCCAATCGGAAGAGAAGCTCAGAGCCTCCTCTCTTCTGATTGGCTCACTAGAGCTCCATGGAGGAGATGTAAAACTACATTGAGATGGTTTTTGGTTCTTAAAACCAAAAATATATCTTCTTATGGATCAGCTTCAAAATAAACTCTGGAAAAGTGTAAAACATATGACTTTCAATACATTCACGATTCTTAAAAGGTAACTTTTTAGAGCACTTCCTGTTTCAAATATGGTGATTCTATCACCAAAGTTTAACATTTAGTTTTGTGTATGTCTAAGTGAACTTTAGGGGCACTTAGGTTTGATATTATGGACTATAAAATGTCACAATCTGAAAACATGCACATCTTGCTCAGAGATACTTAAACCTGAACTATAGGCAACATTCATTCATTCATTCTATCATTCAGCACCAGGTTACATTGTGCCAGTGTACCTGCAGTGACACAAGGTCATTGAACGCTCCATCAGGTACAGTGTGGATGTCATTTCCATGAATCATCAGCAGCTCCAGCTTCCCCAGACCAGCCAGAGATTTGTCTGTGATCTTGTTGATACTGTTGAACCTGAAACAGCAAAACCAGAATACACATGAGAAACAATACATGAGCCTGGATTAGCCTTTTTTTTCTTCTTTTTTTGTTTTACAGACCCCAGGTTCATGCGTTCCACGTGTCTAGACACAGCAGCTGGGATGGTGAGGAGGGAGCGGAAGGTGCAGTGGAGCTCTGTGGGCTGGGGGCAGGAACAAGGCCGGGGGCAGGAGACAGAGGCAACGGGGGGCAAGATCGCCAGCACCAGCAGGGTGTGGAGGACGCGCACGGCGGGAGGGTCCATCTTCATCCGCGCACTCACAGCAGCTGAACGTTGGGAAATGATATACTATTATTGGAAAAATAATAATAATTGGAATCTGCATTAAAAACTATCAGTGGACAGCGCCAATCCGTGAGAGGTGACCCGAGCATGGCTGCAGTTTCTGCAGGGGACTCTATGCCTCCATCACCTGTAAATACGCGCAGTGAAAGTGCTTCCTAAATATTTCATTCTAACTCCATCTTATTTCACTGTGATGAAATATAGATGCTCTTACCTCAAACCCTTGATAGCCTTCCTCCAGGGAACTCCTCATATTCCATTTCAACATGGATTCAATCAGGAAACCGCACAGCTGGAGGAAAAAAGTGAAACTTCAAAGACGAGATGTTGCAAAAAAAAAAGAAAGAAAATGAAAGAAAAGAAAAGAAAAGAAGAGTAAATGAGCAGAAAGTTAATGTAAAATACTCCTGAGTGTCAGTCCGCGCTGTGGATCTCCGCTAAGGACTGAGAGGGACTCTGCAGCGCACGCTATTGAGACGCAACAGGAGGAGCCACGAGGACACAGGAGGTTGAAAAGAGTTTCAGTGGGAGTTTTTTTCCCCCCTCAACTCAGAATATGATATTGAACCGCAGCCAAACACACTCTCATGCTGCAAAAGTGTATGTTGATGATATATTCGGTGAGTCACGCTGAAACCACCAGAAATTAGATTAACCTCAATAGCTGACAGTTTGAGGACCAGCTGGCTGGGAGAAGCACCAGGTAATCTGAAGCTAAGTAAACGAGGAATTGTGGCATCAAGACAGTGATGAGTGAGGGTTGCCTTAAATGTAACACCCACCCCCCCCCAATTTTGTGTATCTAAATAACCATATTTTTTGGCTGCAGTAATTTCATCCACCACTCCACAATAAGACTCCCCTTATAAAGGCTTTATGACTGGTTTATTAATTAGCTTGTTAACACTTTATAAATAATTAATATGTTGTTATAACACATTAGATAAACCCGTTGCTTGCCAAATAGTGAGCCCAGCCACACACAAATGCCATATATGTAGATATATGACATTTCTTATATGACATATATATAATTAATTGTTGTAATTTATACTTCCACATTTGGGCAAATTCTGGCTGTTATCCTCCAATATTGGCTGACAGCAGGAAGCTGTATATGGGCCATATACAGCACTTCTACATCTGGGCAAATTCCAGCTGTTAAACTCTGATATTGTCTGGCAGCTGTGACCTGACAGTCAAGTGGTATACAGGCCAGATTCGGGCCATGTAAGTGACAGCGCCCTCTAATGGCTGCAGTAATTATGAGAGTAGCAAAGGAGGAAGTCATGTGACGAAGTTTAAAGCGCCATATAGTCCCTGTGCGGAGGAGGTTTGGGTGGATGGATGTGTCCATAAAATTTTATCACAGGAGAATGAAACCGATAGTCAAAGTTGTTTAATTTATCCATAAATAACCTAAAACCATAACTGTATGTTTATTATAGTAACCATGACGACCAAGGTCCTCCAACCTTAAGGTAGTGCTTATTTAAACCAAAACTGTGAACTTTCCCCAAAACCTACAGTTTTAGTGCAACTTCATTAACTCTTTTTCATCACATGTCACCTGACACATGAGATAAAATATATAAAAAATTAAAGGTCCCATATTTTCCTCTTCTGTGGTTTTTCTTTGAAGTGATGATCCATAAGAAGATATATTTGTGGTTTTAAGAACCAAAAACCATCTCAATGTAGTTTTACACCTCCTCTCTCAAGCATCTCTCTGGAGCTCTAGTGACAACAGATCAGTGAGCCAATCAGAAGAGAGGCAGACTGCTTTACAAAATACAGCAGATTTCAGGTAAACACTCAAGAGAAATCAACTCCTGCAAGGTTTGGATGGTGGGCCCAGGTGGGCGAGGCTTGGGGCATGGCTAAGGGCGGTGACTGCTTTGTTGTGACATCACAAAGTTCAGGAAGTCCTGATGGCTGGTTTTAAGGCTCAGTTCCTGAATACAGGCTGTGTGCATTTCTCTGTGGACTGAGCGCTTTGATACTTTCACAGTATTAATATAGAACCTAGACCTGCTTTATAATAACACAACACATGGACATCTACGTTTATACTACATGGGACCTTTAACAAACATGGTGACAGTCATGTGTTAAACTATAGGGTTTCCCATTCTCTCCCTCTCAGACTGTAAACAGAGACCAGCTGGGTGCTAAAGTTAAACTTCATTAACTGCCTGAAACCTGCACTGCATGCAGTCTAGACACACACCCATTGGAGAAAAAAGCATGTGCTGACACAGGAACATGCACGGCATAACAACAATGTGTCACACAATGAAAAATAGAAGTTGCTATGACAACCTGAGGGAAAGTTGATATCTGATATCAGCTCAAAATTGACTCCAGAGTGAATTTATTTTGGACTTCATATCCTGCCATGATATCATTTGTTGGAAATTTGTGCTCATTTATGTTGATGTTGAACTTCTCCTTGCCACAGTTCTCGAAACATGACCTGTGGTGTTAGCTTTGGCTCCTGAGCATCCCTCCTCTTCATCACCTACATGCTGCAGTCCGGAGGCTAGCGGCCACTGAGTCCCACCTTTGTGACAGTGTTTAAGTTGGAGCAAAGCGGAGGTCAGAGGTAACAGAGGCACGGTGAGCGGAGGGCCTCCCATTCCCGCTGCTGGACCAAGAGCCTCTATCCGTCACTGTGTCACTGTGGGGCCTGTAGCACTCCTGCACCAAAACCACATGAAAGAAAGGTCAGTGCAGCTATGTGGCCTGTGGCTGGCTCTGAGAAGAACCTCTGTGCATTGTCAGAGCAGCACGAATCCCTGAATGTGAAGAATGAATATTTCATACAGCTGCTGAAACAATCCACACATACTGTACATGTTAGGCTTACAGTTAATCCAATATACAGGTTCTTCTTGGATGTACTTCTGTTCCACATTATCATGAGGTCAGGTGTTTGGTTTGTAATCCAGCCCTGCAACAAGAGAAAACAAAAAGCCCTATATCCATAAGAGTGAAAAAGACTATTGACACTAAAATTTACAGATATGCCCCAAACGCCTCACATGCAGACATTGGTAGACCCTAAAATTTACAGATGTGCCCTGAACGCCTCACATGCAGGGAATGGGTACATGCTAGCTACAGCACACATCATCAGGGCCCCACTCTATAGTTAATAATTGCCATTGCAAAATGTGCTAACAAGAGGGGCCATCAGGGGCCCCTTTTCCCCTTGGGAGCCCCAAACATTTGGCTGTTTCACCTCTCCTGACTTCTGCTCTCCTGTGCTTCTGCTTGGTATTGATAGGAATTGTCATTATCTCAATCTAACTTTATTGTGAATGGATCTAAATATGCAAATTAGGTGGGTGTTCATTGTTTTGGTTTCACAGCTCATAGATTTACTATTTTGGTTCAGACTGGTTGGGTGAGGGAAAAAAGAGAGAGAGAAAGGGAGAAAGGGGGAGAGAAAGAATGTGTGTAGTGGGTCAGATTTTAAGAGTGTGGTCACACTGGATGGATGTCATTCACACCTGAGATCAGATCACAGTGTAAGCCAGACCACCTCCAGATGTGGTCTGACCATGTCCAGATGTGGTCTGGCAGATCTGACTGCATTCTGATTCTGACCCATTCTGTTTGTATTTACACCTACTGTAGATGAACACACTTTTTTTCTAATCACATGGGTAGGACCAGATGTGAATGGGGTCCCTCAGTCAGCTGTTTATCCAGATAATCTAGACTACTTTATAAGGAAGTCATAATAATCCATTCCAAACCAAAACCACAAACCACCAAACTGTGGTGAGTACTGTAAACCATGATGGATCTCTGACATATCCGCATGGATGAAGGAACGCCACCTTCAACTTAACCTCTCTAAGACTGAACTCCTGGTCATCCCGGGCCAATCAGTCTCTCCATCATGATATCTAAAATTGCCTCTTCATCTCTTACCCCAACCAAGGTCATGAGAAACCTGGTTTCCTGGTTTGTTCAATGACCAATTATCCTTCTCTGACCATGTTGCATTTGTCTCCAGGTTGAGCTGCTTTGCTGTATACATCAGACCATACCTGACTCAGTATGCCACCAAGCTCTTGGCCCAGGCCATGGTTATCTCTGGCCTTGACTACTGCAACGCCCCTCTGACAGACCCTTGCAGATGGTCCAGAATACCTTCCTCCAAGGATTGTCGGCTGGCATTGCCATCCCTGCAAACAAGGCAACTGCAGTCCAGACTGTTCTCGTTTGTGGTCCCCCGATAGTGGAAAAAGCTATCGAATGTTATCATGAATTTGGCTGATTAATTTGATAGCTCAGAGGTCTCAGTTTAAACATTGATGAGTACAATGTTATCACAAGTCATAAAACTAACAGCCAGAGGTACAAAGATAAAACTCAAATTTTAAGGGTAGGACGGAGAAAAGGTTATTACATCAATTTGGTCAAAGCAGAGTCCTATTTCCAGCCACCTGAGGTAGATCATGAATGTATGGTCAGTTGATTGGTTCAGTCTGAGTGGATCGATCCTCATCTCCTGCTAAGTAGTGAGAAAGGAAACAAAGAAGTGTCAAAGCACATTATAGAAGGTGTGACATCCTAAATGGATTCCTAGCATAACTATACGGGTCAATATAAAAATGGCCAATTTCCAACTTAGGATCCTATAAAATAAGAGTGAAACAATTTAAAGCCATCAGTTCAAATACAGGCAATATTACCATGGAATTCCTCATCCACTCCTCCATGTTATTGCCTGAAAAGATGAAGGAGGCTGTTAATCAGAAAACGAATGCTAACCAAGACATTTGATGGATTACTTTAAGGATTGATGAGGCCGTCTGGTTTCAGGATATTTCATTGACTTTCAATATGAGTGGCTTCCAATGAGCAAGTACGACATGCCAAACCTGTTGCAGTGATGGAGTGGCATCACAGATTTAATGGTTTTTGTAACTCTGGTGTTTACTGTCTGA